CAGATCTGACAGAAAAGGCCAATAAGTTTAAGGAGGCGTTGGAGGAGAAGGACGAGGAGATGTCCGGCGACCCATCGGCCGGACTCATGAGACTAATGGTATGTTTATTCTGTGTTTTAATTGATTTATATTTGTTGTTAAGAGTCTTAACTTAAGACACAAAATCCAATCACACTTTTGGTGATAAAACGTTGAAACAAATAATAAAAAACATATTTCTGAACGAATGGACGGCTCCTTAACAGAAACAAATGTACAACGAAGGAGACGATGACATGAAGCGGACAATTGCCAAATCGTGGTACGAGTCCCGCAATAAGAACTCATCCGAAATCGATATGAAACCCGAAAATCTTGACATTTGAATGCAATTCACAAGTAATTGTCAATTGGTTTTTATTATTTCTAATCATTTTTCGTGTAATTTATAAATAAAAATTGATTTGTTTTATGCATTTGTGTTGAAAATTAATTGCACTAATTGTGAGACAATAGTATCGCATGAAAGGGTCACCAAAGGTCTAAAGTTGATGACTCGCCTATAATTGTAGACAATTATAGTAACAAAAAACGAGTTGTCGTACTAAAGAGGGGACTGGTATTCAAGCGCTCGTGCCTTACAATAGGTTTAATTTGATTAAAGCCTCACTTATTGTATTGAAATGCTTTGAATACATAATGAATGCACGAAAGGGTACTGAAGAGAGAGAAGGAAGCAAATCCTGTTTGGAGACAATTTGGACCAATTGTTGGTGATATGGTCTCATCGTTGCTGTATTCAGGTATAGTATACTCTACTACAGTATACGGCATATTGTGTGCATAAATACTACCAAATGTATGCTCTATTTGGCAAATATGTGGTCATTAACAAAGTTTCTGAACACTAAAACACTATACTATCTATGAATACCACAACCAAAAGATTATAATATCTCCAGAAGTGATCAATCGATGGACTAATTTCTAGGAAAATGTATTTATGAGTCATAATCAAAGTAGATTTAAAAATGGACTTATTTTTTAAAATTATGGATGGAGTTATGGATATAAAAATGTAAAAATATGGACTTATATATGGACATTCAAACTTAATTTAATTGAACAAAAAGTTTTAAAATACCAAGTTTTAGCAAGAATTGAGTTAAAAGAAGTAACATTCTGTGTATTAAATGATTTTTGAATCATATTCCTTCATTTATTATCTAAAATATGATTATATTTAGATAAAAATATTTTTACCATTTAGTGTTTTCAGTGATTTGGTTAGTACTGTTTGTATACACACAACAAATGATACATATTGTGTAAAAATATTGCATTTCCTTACAATATGCATATTTGCATAACTTTCTAAAAATTATTCACAGCCTGAAAATTCATCAAATTATTATTTTTATATAGAATTATATTTAGATTTTTATAAATTTACGCGATTTTATGCTATTTTTGGGTCGTGATTGATATGATATATGGACATATTTATGGAGATATGGAGTTTGAGGTAAAATATGGACAAATATGGAATATAAATGTGGTCTCAAAACACCCCTTATTTCACGATCGGTGGAGATCTTTCAATTTCCATGTGATCTGAATGCATACAAAAAACATGGATTTCCATAACTCCATCGTCTTTGGTCATAATTCCCGGAATGCAGTGAATGACTGAAATGAATGGATTCAATGGTCAATAACTTTGGGACGGGAGTGACGGACAGACACACAATTCACTGACCCATTGCAACAGTACATCGTCTCTACAGTTATTTAGTCTATCCCTTAAACCCACTCAAGAAGTGTCAACAAAACTAATCAAACAATTAAATACAAAACAACAAACAATTAGTG